TGATTTCTTTAGTTTTGGCATATTTTAAATACATAGATGTTTCTATATGGGGTCTCAAGGGTGTGTATGCAAAAGAGCACAAATGTCTTTGGTCAATATCATCCTATTGTATACATCAACCACACATCGCTACTAATATAGATGAATTACTCATAGACAGGTAATGAGTGCTTAATAATAGTTTAGAGTTTTGAGAAGTTTCATGTGTACTTACATGATTCTCAGACATTACTAAAAAGTTTATTATAAAAGTGGAAGAATTTGGTTAGTTATATTATTTAGTGGACTTTGATGTTTTACATATATAATTTCAAGATTGTTTATCGTCAGGGAGTTTTATAGCTAATACTAATATCTTTTCTTGAGGTCCTCTCCCTTATTCACTCTTTTCTTCTAATCTTAATAAATTTATTGTTTTAATATGAATGGATTTCTTACGTAAGGATTCTATGTTGTCGATGGTTGTTATATTTGATATTTAGTATCCATAAAATGCAAAGTTAGATTTCTTTTTTTGACAAAATTCATGAAGCTTAAAAGGTTGAGCAATGGATTCGAAAACTTCATGATGGATTTAAAAATTATATCACCTATTAATGACTTGCTATTTTAACATTTATATTCTTAATATTGCCTTGAAGATATTCTTTATTTTATGGGGAATAATTATGATGATCATTTATGACTGGTAGTGCTTTTGTCTTTATTCCACATTTTCTCTGTACATATTATGCTTCTTCTATTCTAGATGAGTATATAAGACATTGTCCTGTGACTAAGATGTTGCACAAGTCTTTCTGTTTGCTGAAAATTTGATATGATATTAACAAATATATGCATAGTTGTGTTTGATGCCAAATCTATAACACTCCCTCTCATATATCAATTATAATTTCTTGTTCATTTGAGTTGGTGACATTTGATCTAATAGGGCCTTTTCTATAATCGATTACTACAATGAGTACATCATTATTACCTTCGACTATTTAACTCATTAGGTGGAAGACAATGCTTTTGTTAGTGCGTTTAAAACTATTATTAGATACTTCTTCCTAAATTAAGTGGTGTTTTAGCATTCTTTTCTAGAGTAGATTCTTTTATATAATGGTCATGTGTTTATGGCTAAAGCATTTCATGTTTTGACATTTTAGCTAGAAATATACCACATTTTCACAAGTGCTTAACATTCACAAATGAATGGTTTAATGAAATAACTCATTTAGACCTTTAAAGAGATAATTGAAAAGTACATGAACTTTCAATATTTGGATTGAGATAGTTATTTACCTTTTCTTCAGTATATATATATTGCAAGGGTACAGAGTTGTGTTAGTGGTTCACCATATAAACTCTTATATGGTCATAATTTGATATTGTCAATAGAGTTGAGTTTACTTTCACAATTGTTATGAGTTGTCGATGCTAGGTCCTAGGATTAATA